GGAATAGGTGACCAACAACCTAGTGAAAAAGTATTAAAGTTTTATAGGTTACTTGAGGATATCAATGAAAAACTTTTGAAATATCTAAGCATTCATGGTTATCTTTCTATATACGTTTTTTTCATTCGAAATGCTCATGTAGATTGATAGAAAACTCTTTAACTTTATTATTGGAGTTTATGAAAAAAATGTTTCATTTTACAAAAATTCTTAAATCTTGTAAGAATTCAAAGAAGATAATCAATGAGTTAGATCTTGAATATGAGAAAATTCATAATTATCTCAATAATTGCATGTTGTATTGGTGTGATAGAAAAAATCAACAATTTTATCATGTGTGTGATAATTCTCATTTAGTGGACACAAATCCCAAAAAAATGTTGAATGAGGATGATGATGAAGTCCATATTAAAAAGAAGCCTATAAAAATTTTATGGTATTTTTCATTAATACCGAGACTTCAATAATTCTTTATGTCTTCTAAAATTACTGATCACCTAACACTACCACTGTCAGATGTTACCAAAAAAAATAAAAGAGGCATAGGGGTCGTGTTTACACTCCCATGCCTAGCCCTGTGCCATTCCCTTAGGCACGGGGCACTGTCAGAGCTCTATAAATAGAACTCTTGATGGATTAAAAAAAGGAGGGGAAACAAAGAAAAAACAAAGGAGGGACGTTACAAAAAAAAAACAAAAAAAAACACTGCAAAAAAAAAAACACAGTCTTCCCCGTAGGGAGAAACCCAGCGCAGAGCTTCATGCACAAAAAAAAAAAGTCAGTTTAAAAAAAAAAGAGTCAGAATACAAAAAAATCTATAGTTTCACCGAAATTTTGAAAGTAGATCTAGGGAAGTGGGGACTCTTTTTGGTGAAAAGGAAGTCGAATCTGTGTTCAGGAGGTCGAAAGGAGTTTGTGGATGTTTTTTAAAATTTTTCGACATCGACGATAGCGATAGGACCACGACGGCCGTCACGACGGACGGCCACCGGCCCCAGGTAGGCCTAAAAAAAAAAAAAGAAACAAAGGATTTTTTTTTCGATAGAAAGGAAGAAATGACCGAAAAAAATGGCGTCGTTTCAATAAATGCCCAAAACGATGTCGTTTTAAGCACTTAGGATCCCACATCAACCCACGACCCTACCCGGGGTCCGCGCACTTGACCCGCGACCTGTTTCTCATTCAGCCTCTGACCGGTTTGACTGAACCGAAACCAAACTGCTGAACCAGAATCGAACGGTACCTAACCACTGAACCAACCATATCGCGCCCAGACTGAGCCGAACCGTACCCGAATCGTCGGATCGAACCGCAAGTTGACCGGACCGATCACCGGTCCGGTTCAGGTAAAAAAAATTTTTTTTTTAGAATTTTTTTAAAAATATTATTTAAGTTATTTTAATTATTATTTTATTAATATTTATCCATATTAAAATATTTATATTTGTTAGATTAAATGATGAAATATGTGGTTAAATTTTTTTTATAATTTTGTTAATTTTTAAAATAAACTTTAAAAATAAAATAATATAAAAATAAATTTAATAATAATACTAAACTAATAAAAAATGTAGGAAAAAGAAAATTTTTATTCGACGATGAGATTTAAAGGTATTCTGATTAGTGATGCCTATAAAATCTCTAAGTGAAAAGATTTTTTTTTTTTAAATACTACCAGTGTATTTGAGTGTTTATAAAATTTTTTTTTCAATACAATAAAATTTTTTTTTAAGTAATAAATAAAAATTGATTAATAAATTAAAAATATAAGTAATAAAAATGAGAAGAAAAGAAATTTTATCCAATGATGAGATTCTAAAAGTATTTCTAGTAGAGATGTTTTAAGAAATCCCTAAGTGAGAAGATTTTTTGTAAAATATTACCAGTGTATTGAAATATTTATAGAAAATTTTTAATATAATTAAATTCCTTTTTCTTCAAAATTTTAATTAAAAATAAATATTAATAAAATAATTAATAAAATTTCTAACAAAGGAGAATAAAATGTGTGCATCAACATGGTAACATTTTGCATTGCATGCATGACATTTTTTACGAAAAGTAAATTTGAGCCTCTGAGGATGAGATTCTAAGGTATTCTGAGAAACGATGTCTAAAAAATCTCTAGGTGAGAAAAAATTCTTCTAATGTTACCAACGTACTAAACATTTTAAGAATTATTTCAATAAAAAGGTTTTACTTTATTTTTCTCGAGAATAAAAATTTTTTTCTAATAAATAAAAGATCAAGAAAATTATTTTTCGAACACAAAAAATTAGACTATTTTTATCAAAATCAAAGGATAACACGTTGTTAATTGGTACCGTTTTTAACGGGCGCTGTGAGGGTGTTAATCCTTTCCCATCCGTAACCGACTCTCGAATCTAGACTATTTTGCATATCGTAAAATTATCTTTTTAATAAATTGTAATTAATTTTAAAATTTTATTAAAATGATATGTTTTAGTAGGTGGCCAATCGCACTTAACCAAAAAAAGATTAGTGACGACTCCGTTATTTTTTTATTTCGTTTTCAAATTCATCGGACGAACACCAAATCGTTACGACAGTAAAAAAGCTAGGGTTGAACTTCAATTTTAGTGTTTTTTTAAGGTTTTTTTATCACTAAATCAAAAATTTGAAGACATAAAAAAAGTATTTTATTTCATAAAGGTAGGCACGTGATTGAACTACTTAATTTTAATGTGTTTCATTTAGTTTATTTTTCTGCTTTTTTTATTATTTTTTGGACAATTTTTCAATAATCATGCAATTAGATTTTGGATAATTTTTAAAAAATTTGAAATATGTGTCAATTTTTAAAATTTTTTATAAAATTAAAAAAATTACATTAATAATATATCAAATACTAATTTCTAATTAAATAGCATTCCTAATATCTGTAAAAAAAAAAAAAGCATGCACATTTACAAGAACACTTTATTTTTGACAAAGATTTACAAGAATCCTTTATTAGTATTTTATTTCAATAATATATATGTATGTGTACAATTTCTTAGGTAGATTTTTTGCTATAACATTAAGCAATATGATACAAATTAATTAACAATTTCTGCTAATACATTGATTTTGTATATAACCCTTGAAACCTTACATGAAAATCAATTTTTTTTCATTTTTTATAAATATAGCATTTTAATAAATAATATATTCAAAATAATTTTTATATTGAAAAAATTATAAATCAATTAATAAATCAAAATTTTAAATGATATGAAAATTTTTACCTAATATTTTAAAATGATATGGAGTTTTTACTTAATTTTTTAAACCAATAAAGAAATTTTCACTTAATTTTTTTTTCAAAAGAATTTTGAAAATGTTAACTTAATTTTAATTTTTAAAAATTTATTTTCTATTAAAAACAAAATATTTTAACTAATAAATTATATTAAAATAAAATAAAAAATTATTATTTTAGATTTAAAATTTTATAAAATAAATCTTAAATATAAAAAATCGAGATAGTATTATCTTTGGTTTGTAAATTTTGAGCAAAATTTTATTTTAATCCCTCAATTTGCTACATAAGATGCCAGTCGATGCCATCCACATGGCATCAGTTAGTACTTATTATCAATTTAGACGATTTTATAAATGGAAGGATTAGAATAATACAACTTTGAGTAATTACATATCTAATTAAAATTTTTTAAAGATTATGAACAAAATTATAATTTGACTCAAAATTCAACGATAAAAAATGTTATTAATTTTTTTTCAAATTAAATATTAATTAGGAGTGTAATCAAATCAAATCAATACAGTAAAAAGCTTAAACTTGAGCTTAACTCAAAACTCGATTGAATTCAATTGAATTTTAATTTTTAAACTCAAGTTTGATTTGAAATAAAAAATGAGATACTCAAACATGTTAAACTTGTTTTTCAAGTAAAAATAAGTTTGATTTCTATACTTTACTTCAAACTTGAATATTTGTATTCAAATTCAAGTTCAAATTGATATATATGAGGATAAAATAATAATTTTTAATTAAAATAATTAAAATATATATTAAAATATAAAAACTTGATTAACTCGTAAACTATTTAAGTTAAACATTAAAATACTTAAATTCGATTTACTTAATAAATTAAATCACTTAATTTTAATTTAATAATAATTAAATTAAATTTAAATTTTATCCGAATTAAATTCAAGATATCACACCCTAACCAAATAGCTTACGATTAACTTAGATTAGTTTATAATCTAAGGCTGCATTTGGATATGACCGGAGTCACGTTTCAGTGCGTTTACTCTCTTTTTTTGGTGCAATTGCACCGCGATAAATTGTTTGAATGCACCTCAAAATTTTCACTGGAGAGAAGGGGGTCAATTGAGAATTTTCATTCTCACCGCAGTTCCATTCTCCGTAAAAGACCCTACTTTATTATTATTATTATTATTATTTACTTTTGAAACTACAGTGCACTCAAGCTTTTTTTTTTAATTTTGTTCATTTTTTTATTTTTTTTAAACTTTATTTTAAACTAAAAATAATTATTATTTTAATATAAAAATAATAATATTAAATTTCACTTATTTATTAACTTTATAAATACCAAATATATTATAAAATTTATTATATATCAATTTTAATCTAATGTCTACCATAATAATTTTATTTTTATTATATTTTATCTTACTGATATTATTATTATATTTATATTTAAATAAATATTTTATTATTAATTTTAATTTTATCATTATAATAATTAATCTCATCAAAATTAATTTTACTATTTAGAACTTAAAATTCCATTCATTGTTCGATAAGCATGAGCTGCATTAACCTTGGAACTTGGGCTTTGGAATCGTCGAGTCGACGTACCGCGTATTCAAGCTTGTATGAAATGCTCGTGTCAATGCACTGCCACGTATTTACAGACGTTAATAACTCAATTTCGTTTATGTTCAGTTCTCAAATGTATATACGACTAAAATTTTCTTAGATTTTCTTTTCTTTCAAGCCAAACATGTCTACTGCAACAAACTTCATGAAACTCTCCCTTCCGTTCTATTCCTTCAAATTAAGCACAGCTAAATTTCCTATCTCGCTGAGAACCTCATATTCTAACAATGCCGCTGTAGTCCTGATAAAAATATTACCACGGGGGCTACTAGTTGAAAGTAAAAAACATGTTGACCCACCAGAAGTTGAATTCAGGAGCCCACTGGAAGTTCCTTCAGGGCCAAACTATAGGCCTCCTTCGATTCCGCCAGAGGTTCCTGAGATTCCTAGGACTCCTGAAGTGGACCCTTCTGATACCCCACTAGAATTCACCACCACCGATCCTCCACCACTGGGTCGTCCCAAACTTGACCCTGGCCCTGATTTTCCAATGCCTCCACTGGAACCTCCACCAACTGGTCCTGAAGCTCCTGTCCCACCACCTGGTAGGCCGCCGCCACCTGAAGTGGACCCTCCTCTACCGCCTGATCTCTTTCCCCCACTATCAACGCCTCCGGATTATGTGCCTCCACCGTCTATACCTCCAAATATTCCACCACCGATAGTTCCACCCGATATTCCACCAACCAAAGGTCCATCTTTTGTTTTTTAATTTTTAGGGAGTAAAACTCGTTGTAATATATTACTTTTCCGCCGTAATAAAATGGATTCCATTTCCATATTAATTATCAGAACAAAAGAAAAAGGAATTCCCTGTTAAAAAAATCTGCATGAACCATTGCGATATATTTTTTTGGCCAATGGGTTCCTATGTTTCATGTCTATCTATTTATATATATTCCCCAGTTTCAAATCTTTTATATATATATATATATATATATATATATATATATCTGGAAAAATTATGTTACTCCTAATAGATCTTAAAAGGCCGAGAAGTTATATGATGTTTCTTTGTTTTATCAGAGGCCTGGGCCTGTGATCGTGATATTAGAATATAGCTCTGTTTGAACCAAGTGTGAGCCACCTAAAACATTTATTTCCTGAAGTCTGTTTAATTCAATTTCAACTGGGCTATGAAATGGGTTTTCAAATTGGGATACACCAAGACCATCAATCAAGCACACAATTCAAGGTCCCCTACAGATTAGCTGGAGGAAACCGACTCAGTCAGAAAGCTTAGGCACGAAGAGACACTCCATTTTCTTTTCCAAACAATCCCAGAAAACTTTCTACAATGTCAATTCCATGTTATGTATTTCCAGCATGGGTTTTGATTTTTGAAGGTTGAAATCAAAGTCTAAACTGTCGACCATGACTCTGTCTCAACTTATTTCTTACGTGTTAATTATGTTTTAACTTCTTGTCCAAGTAAACTATTTTAGTGGCTACTAGGATTGTGTCCCAAGCTTTCTATTACTAAACTTTGACACAAATTTCAAGGAGTACAACCGTACTCAAAGGTTCAGGGTTGCTAAGCCAACGCAGAAAAATAAAACCGCGTGAATAGCCATGCACATTTATTATTTATAGTTTGCACTTAGTTTGTTATTTTTATTTTCTTAGATTTTAGTTGAATTGAGAGAAAGATTGATTGTGATAAGATTAAAAGTTTTTAATAAAAATTATTGTAATTTTGATTGAAAAAAAATTTAATAAAAAATTTATATTAAATAAATTTTATTAAAATTAATATTTAAATTTAAATAAAGATACAATAAATTTAATCGTACCACATAAAAATATAAAAATTTATTTTAATTACCAAGTTATCAACGTTCACAAATAATCTCAAAGTAAATAATTGAGAAATAATCTCAAAATAAACACTCACCTTCACAAAAAATCTCAAGATAAATCCAATCAATTATATTATCATCATCAAGGATTAAAGGAAAATTAAATTAAATCTGTACCATTTTCCAAACTCTATCTCTTCTCTAATTTTTTATTTCTTTCATTTGTTTTAAGTTATTAATTGATTTTAAAGTCAGAAAGACCTTAAAATCCGAATTTCGACACTGCATTTTTTTTTTTTAACAATCCTGACATTCTGACTAATTCAGCCACGACTTAGCTCCATTCTTACCTAATAAAAAGAGTATAACAATAGTCTTTAGCTGCTTGACTTAACGATCAAACAAGTCTTAAAAAAATATAAAATTGGAGTTCGACTTAAACTTTCTTCTCTCTCTTTATTGTAGGACGCTGCCTCTTGAAAAAAAAAAAGTGTGTAACACTCCTAATAACAAATGTACTATGATTTCAAGCATCTCCGAGCGTGTTGAAAAACGAGTAAGGATCGACTCGTGCAAGCAACGCAGCGTGCTCACTGAGGTTGAAAAATAGGAAGGAAACAGAGTACACATCGCCCCCAGAGTTCATACTTATCTCTACTTTTTGCCTTTGAATGCTTTTGTGGTTTTGTCACCTAACTTAAGTAAAAAGTCATTATATGAGGTGAAAATAAAAATTTAAAAATTGATTTGAAATGATAATATTTTATTTGAATTAATTTTTTAATTTCATTTAGATCAAATATAAATATTAAATAATTATATTAAATTTGAATTGAATTTTAAATCGAAAGATAAAAGATAAAAAAAATTAAATCGAATTAAATTATATATTTTTTAGTTTCTATATATTTTAAATTTTTATAAAATAAAAATAATAATTTTATATTTAAATATACTTAAATATATTAAAATAATATATAAAAATTTAAAAAAATTAAAATTAAAATCTATAAATAAATTAAATTAAACCGATAAAATTTGATTCGGTTCGGTTCAGATTGAATGAAAATTCAGATTAAATTTTAAAATTTTATAATATTATATAATATTCGAAAAAATTGAATCGAATCTGATTCGAATTGAACTATTATTATTTTTATGATGAGTTGTTATTAGGAAGTATTTGGTTAAAAAAAATTTTATTCAAATTTTATTTTTTGTAATTTAATTTTTTATTTCATTTAAAAAGGTAATTTTTGAATTTTTTTAAATATTCTCAACAATATTAAAAACAAAAAAGTAGGAGAATAAAAATTCTCCTCTTCTTAAAATTATTTATATTCTGAAACAAAAGTAAAAATTTTGTTTTATTTATCTCCATTCAATTGTATTTTTAAACTATATTATATTTTTTAGTCTCTTAAAATTATAAAACAACTGTAGCTTTTATTATTTATAATTTCAACAAATATTATATTTTTAAGATAAAAAAACATAGTGGTTGTTGAAATTATACTTTTGAATTTTTGAAAATTTAACAAAAATTACGTTTTTAAGATAAAAAATGTAGTAGATATTGAAATTTTATTTTCAAAATTCTAAAATTTTAACAAAAAATCATATTTTTAAGATAAAAATATAATAGATGTTGAAATTATATTTTTGAAAATTTGAAATTTTAACAAAAACCACAATTTTCAAAATAAAATGTAGTAGTTGTTGAAACTATATTTTTAAAATTTTACAATTTTAACAAATATTGCCTTTTTAAAATAAAAACATAATGAATGTTAAAACTATATTTTTAAAATTTTAATAAAGATCACATTTTTAAGATAAAAAAAATATAGTGAATGTTAAAAAAAAAGGATTGCATTTTTAAAATAAAAATGTAATCTTTGTTACTACTTATAATAAAATTAAAACAAAATAAAAAATATCTTTACTTATATTATTACATATAAAATTTAAATTACATTTTCTTATTATTAAATTTAAATTATATTTTCTTATTATTATTACATATAAAATTTATTTATTTGGGAAAGGGTTTTATCACTCCCCTTCCAACCCATATTGAGCTTATCGCAAAGTTCGATTTGTGTATTTTTTCTGTGTAGAGATAATTAACATAAGGATAGTAATTAAGATTCTAAAATTATTTTTGTTAAAAATATAAAAACTTTAAAAAAATTTTTAATTTTTACAAAAACAACATATTATTCACGTGTAATGTGTTATGAATGTTATATGTTATTCACGTATTATTAAAAATAATATAATAAAGACTTTTTAAAGTAATCTTATATTCTTTTAAACTAAATACAAAAACTTTATATTCTTTAAGTTAACAAAACCCAAAAATCATAATTCCCCTTTCAATATTACTCTTCTTTGTAATTATTTTCTCTTGAAATCTAAAAATTTACGAATCAAACACTTTTATAATCGAATTGAAGGAAATTTTCGTTCATTCAACTCCAACCCAATTTTTTAATATCTATATCCAAACTCAAATTGATATTAAAATATTATTTTTATACTCAATCCAATCTAACCAATATATTCATAATCCGTAATTGACATGATCTAAAACAAATTTAATAATTTTAATATAATATAATATTTATAAAATATTTTTTAATATAAATTATATATAAATATAATAATTTTATTAAATAAATATCTTAAATTAAATATTAAATAATAATTTTATTAATATAATATATAAATATAAAATTAAATAAATAATAAAAATATTTTTATATATATTTGTGTCAATACCATTTAAAACTTGATTTCGAAGTAAACCTAATCTTAAAAATAAAAAAAAATCAAATTCAATGTGTAATTTTAAAAGAAATTTTAATTAATTGAATCTAAATAAATTAAAATTCATTAGATATAAATTATTTTATCATTTTTATATTAATTTTATAGGATTAACAAGAAAGGGTGGGTCCAAAAGACCCGACGTTCCTAAGTTCCCGTAAAAAGTAGCTTGATTTGACTTGGATTATTAAAATCTTTAAGTTTTAATTAAAATTTTACAAATTTAATAAATTTCTTTACATTGGAATTCTATATAAACCCAGCTAAGCTTGAGCTATACTCAACATACACACATACTCTCTCTCTTATACTTCCCAAGTTTCCTGAGGATTTTTTTTTCCAGCAGCCAAACAAACAATAATGGGAGATACACCAAGTGAAAAACAGATTGTCGAGTTCAAAGAAGCCTTCTGTCTCTTTGACAAAGATGGGGACGGTGAGTTTTTTTCTTCATACTTTATGCTTAAAATTGATGCAGCATAATTCTGGCTTTTGTCCTTTATGTTAATGAAGATTTCCATGTTTATTAGGTTGCATTAGTGTGGAAGAATTGGCAACGGTGATTAGATCCCTGGATCAAAATCCCACGGAGGAAGAGCTCCAGGAAATGATAAGTGAAATTGATGCTGATGGAAATGGAACTATTGAGTTTCCAGAGTTCTTGAACTTGATGGCCAAGAAGATGAAGGTAAAAAAAATTTTTTTTGTTATTGTAAGCACATTTTAACTGTTGCAATTCTGTCTGTTATGACAATTGCAGCCAGAAAAAGATTGGAAACGGAGAGACAAGGTTTAGCATTTAGCAAAAGAACTGAAATATTTGTTTCTGCCAAAAACCAGGAAACCGATGCAGAAGAGGAGCTTAAAGAAGCTTTCAAGGTTTTTGACAAGGATCAAAATGGGTATATCTCAGCTACTGAGGTAAATTTTTATTTTTTTCCCCTTCATTTTTTCATTAACGAACATTTCCAATCAATAAAAAGTGACCAAAGATTAATGCAAAAAGTCATATGTTAAAATGAGAGATATTGATATCTTTTTCTCAATGTTTTCCTTAGCAATTTGAACACACACACACAAAATCAATGGGATTACACATTTTTGCATCTGAATTTTTTTGATTATATGGTTTAAAAAGAATCTAAACCAAATTTTAAAAAATAATTTCCTCTTTCGATTATGTGTAGCTGAGGCATGTCATGATCAATCTGGGTGAGAAATTAACTGATGAAGAGGTCGAGCAGATGATCAAAGAAGCTGATTTGGACGGTGATGGTCAGGTTAACTATGAAGAATTTGTCAAAATGATGACTGCCGCTGGATGAAAAACAACTGAATTATATTAGTATTAATTTTGTATTCAAATTCGCTTTGCTTTGTTTCTATCCGCTGGAAGTAATTTTTCTTATTTGTTGTATTGTTATTGGTAATGGTTGTAGCCAATGTGAATTAGAATGACTTGACTATTTACTAGCACCCATTTTGTTCTTCTATTACTTCTAGTTTAAATTTTCAGTTGTTTTCAGTGACTGGCAAATGAGACACTTCCACCTTTGTTCCCAATACATTTTTATCAGATTCTTTTCCATTGAAGGATTTTTTTTTTCAAAGAGAGAACTGGATGATGGTATCTCATTGATAACAATATACAAGTAGTTTTCGACTTCGTCTTCTATTTCTAAAAATTGATGAATCTGAATGTATTAATTAGCTTAAAAACAGGACAACTTTTAACAAGAAGTGAAGGGGAATGGGAAAAAGAAATGAAATTAAACTTTCGTACTAATCTAAAAGAATAAAGTCATATCTTGTTAAGAGTTTTTTTCTTGATGTATTTCGTCTATGATTTCCAGAGAGTACACGAGAATCCTTGAAACATTTCCCCGAATCCATGTTCTTCATTAAGAACACAACCACACACAATATAGAAAAATGTGCCCTCATGCTCAAGGACAAGGCCTTAATTACTGCAGGAAGGCAAGTTTCATGTCTCTGTACCACTGCCTCTCACGGTTTTATTAAGAGATTTGGGCAGAGAAACCTTACAAGCGCTGGATCACACGTGAGAATTCATCTAAGCACGAACAGCTTCAGGAATCCTGCCATTGTCGGAATATGTCAAGCTGTCGTAGTATTCTACCAGCACTTTCCAACCACCAGGGCACATAAATCCATCAGGAGGGTTCTCTTTGTTCTTTGCAAGTGTCCGCATCTGTAGAATGGCAGCAAGCATTTTAGAAATAAAAGTTGCTTGAAATGACATTGAAATCAAAAAATTTACATTATCACTCGTTCATATTTCTTTTTCCAACTCTTTCTTGTGATTTCTATACTACTGGACGTTAAATCTAGTCAATAGTAATAATGGGAAAAAGAAGATACCTTTGTGCCTGATATGAAGAGGAAGTCCTGAGCCCTTGAGGGGTCAAAGAAAGCCATTTTACCTTGGGTCTTATCATACGCAGCAACCTGCAATTAGAACTTCGTTAGCATGAAACGGGGATTTCACATTTTATGCCTAAGTAGTATCATTTTGTACTAGAAAATAACAATGGGAATGAATGCTTGTTATACCCTGAAAGGAAGGATGTTCAGCCGCTCGAGTCCTGGAGCCATGCTCAAGACCTTTTTCCCGTGATCAGCATCATACAGATCTCTCTTCTCAACTGGATGCCCCATGCCAGCTGGGTCTCTCCCGACAATGTAAAAGTTGGCCCCAGCATTAATCCGAGCCTTAGCATGCCACTGCACTTCAGTTGGGCCAGCATAGTGCATAGGAGATGGGAATATAGAGACCACAGTTGTTTCAGGATCAAGCACACCATCCTCAAGCACCTGATAAAATATATTCATTATTAAACTGTCAAGCATTTGCATGTAAACTTAAACGGTAAATATATAACCATTTTCATGTCAGCAACTGTTTTCAAGGGATTTACTAGTAGACCCTGGATAAGCAAAGTAAAATACTCTGGTTTATTTCACCAAAGTGAGGGTCAGAGAACTTATTAAAGGATCATATGAGACAGCTAAGAATTAATAAGATTTAATGATGGGCTGAGGCGAATAGGTTCTTATTATTATCTGCGAGATATGCATGGCTAAAACCCAAAAAAGAAAAAAAAAGGATGATATAGAAACTGCAGAATCATTAAATTCAGGTTGCTGGGCTTTCAGGCCCCCTCCAGATAGTATAGCAAACAAAGCAACCTCACATGTAGTCACATGACAATGGATTGGAAAGGTTGCATAAATACCTTCTCATGTTGTTTCATTCGCCAAGTAAGAGGAACATCATCCGCCTTTGTGTAACCCCCCAATGGATGAAGCAAAAGTATGGGGTTCTTGTAGCCCATCTCAAGAAGCCGACGACGAGTATCTGTCATTAGCAAAGCATGGCCATTGTGAACAGGATTCCTGAGCTGGAAAGCAAACACAGCATCAGCATTGCGCCTCTCAAACTCTTGACGCAGTTGCACAGGTGACAGCCGAAAACGATCAAGACCGTCATGGTACTTGATTGGCTCTATAACCTGCAAATCACCTCCAATCAACCAATTTCCAGCATTTGTTACAGTTTCTTCAACGTATGGTAGTCCAGGGGCAGTAGTTCCCCAAGTTCTTGCTATCCTTTCTTCCTTGGGGTGCTTGTAAATCTCAATGCTGAAACAATCCAGTTATAAAGCAAAGAATAAGACAATGTAGTCATTACAATAAAAAAGGACAATATAGTAATTGAATTGAACGAAAAGACACCTACGATTCGTGAACTACAAAAGAAAATCAAGATGAATAAGTGGAATCTCATGCAAATTGTTTGAGTCGAAGAAAGTTTAAATTATTGGAACTGTGTTTCCCTGCTTCTGATGTAAGTATGGTCTTCCAAGTATTGAAACAACTGTTGTCGTCGGCAGAAAAACCTTAATTTTATTCATTTCAATAGGAAGACTCACTCTATGAAATCACGACCGAGATACAAAGATGACTCATTCAGACAAGTCTTAATTATACTTTCCCATCTCCTTGGGTTGTACCAAGGACGGAGGAAGATGCGGCCTTCACCAAGGATCATATGAGGTTTACACAAGGGGGCTGCACCAGACCCTCCTCATCTTCCCTCAACCATCCCCCACCCCAATTTCATTGAACATCAGCAAGAAGCAGGGAAACTTTCTAATCTATAACACTGCTGTAACTAGACATGAAAGCTTATCAAAGTGATCCAATCACTTGTTCATCTATCAGATTTGAGAAATTCAAACGGTTGAAAATTCATATTGGGCCTTTAGTTAGGGGGCATTAAAAAAAAAATGAAAACCAAAAATCCAAAAACCAGAGTGATAGAACAGGAACCTCAAACGACCTTAAATGAAGATCGAATGATTTCGTTTCTTTCTTTCTCTTTAAACAGCAAACTAAAGTGTGAAACTAACCGGAAAAAATAAACATAATTGCCATTACATAATTACTATTTTATGAGTTTATAAACTTACTTGGAGAGAATCGCGACCGGCTGATCATCCGAATCAACGAGAGCGACACTGTTGGACTCACCGATCCTCTCCTTCTGAGAATCATCGATAGCTAAGACAATCGGCACCGACATGTTGACGAAGGAACCATCGTCAAGTCGGAGGGAGTTGAAATGAAGAGTTTGGAGGAACTCGGATTCTTTCATGAATCCGGTGAGCGGGCTAGCCCACCCTTCACTCAACACGTGCACCCATTGCAGGTCGATCTTAGTCAGCTTCACCCTGGGCAACAACGCCGCTTCCCGCTTCTTCAACTCCTGCTCCGGCTCCGCCACGTGGAGGTCCACGAGTTTCCCACCGTCTGGCTCGATCAATCCGGCTCGGACCGAGACACGTTTGGGCATGGTGGTTCGGGGTTTGAAAGAGAGGGAAACAGGGAGTTTGAAGGAAGGGATAAAATGGGTATTCAAGAATTTATTCACAGACTTAGATGGAAACGAAGTTTGTATGAAAATGGAGGAAGCCATTTGAAGCGAGAGAGAACCAAAATCCTTATGGTTCTGCTTCTTATTGTCTTGAGAAATGAGAGAGAGGTGTAGAGTTAGAACTGTATAATGGTAGCTTGGGAAACGGTAACTGAGAGAAAGGTAACAGAGATGATTATGTCTAAGTTTTTTTGAGGAGAGGGGAAACTGGAAAGTGAGGATGAATCCATGTTTGACTGTATTTATAACGGAAGTCAAGTTGTCATGGGAGGATGAACCTGGACATTTGCTTAATTTCTTGCTGTTTTCGTAAAAATAATTATTTATATGTAGTTTTTCAGGTCAAACTTGGCCAGCCATTTGGGTCGTTTTTAGTGTAATTATTCTGCCATTTGAATCTTTTTATCATGCTTTAATTAGATTGCCTTATGGGACGTTTGATTCGGAGAAGTAAGATTACTTTTGGAAATCTAAATCCTCTTAACAAAATTATCAAACCCATTTTCAGCAATTTCATATTTTGCGTTTGATTCATTGGATCTAAATATAAAATTCATGTGTTTTGTCAAGGTAAATGTAAAAATATTTAATGATATTTTTTTACTAAATTATCCTTTAAAATGAAAAGAGATGTTATATTAAGAAGAATCGATCCTTTGTAAAAGAATCAAGCTTTTTTTAAATAGAATAATACTCAAGAGCGTTTCTACTTTAGAGATCGATCCACATTAAAATATAATCAATTCATTTTTAGACAAATGATACCTAAGAGTTTTTATACTCAAAAAGGTCAATTCCCATTAAAAATGAATTGATCTCTTTTTAAACAAAATGTTGGTTGAGAGCTTTTATTCTCAAAGGATCGATCTTCGTTAAGAGGGGATCCCTCTTCTACTTAGAAGGCTAAAATATTGTTTAAAATCAATTTCATTCAAGATGAAACTAAAATCAAAATTCAATTCATGCAAAAGCAAACTACAATTCAAATATCCAAAGCTATAATTCATGTAAAAAGCAACCCACAATTCATATATCTAGTTCACTTAAACCAACCATGAACAAGTCTAATATACAAGTCATGGTATCCATAAAAACAAGTAATTTTAAGAGCTTTAACATATATTCATAGCACTTTTACCAACCAAGTCATAATATCCATTATACATAAATAGCATTTTCCATCATATATACAACCAAATTAGAAGCTACACATGTCCTGTTAGATTGAAGTTAAAGGTTCGTCAATAGGGATTACATTATTTCAATTACTTAATAATGTAATCCCTCATATATTACTTTGGTATAGCAAATAAGAAATTCACCTTTATGTGTATCTTTACTTATATATTCTCTAACAATAATTATTTCATCGCCTTCAAGTTGTAAGATTTTTGTAAATGTCAATCTTTTATCATTCCCATTAATGTCTTTTGTGAAAGATGAAGCAATTAAATTAATATCCTATTAAGCCTTTTGATATGCAATCTTAATATTGCCAATTTGTTCAACCAACTTATTCAACCCATTAAAGTTCCTAGATCTTATCTTACTTATCTGAACTTTTCTACTTGGGGCAAAAGTTGTATGACAAATTGAATCTGTTACTTTTCTTTTTAAAATTTTCTTATCTTTTTTCCTTAAGAACAATGTCGGTAGCATCTGTAAAGTTTTCTTCTTCATCACTAATATTCTTTCACTACATTAGCTACAGTTTCAACTCTTGCTCCATTAGCTTTGTATCTCTCAAAGATCATGACAAAGTCATTGAAGTAGAGAAAATGTTTGTTTCTTAATCCTTTAATATGTGAATGAGTTTAAACAAATGTCAAAAAAAAATTATGATTAGTATAAGCATTCTTAGCTTAAAAATCATTAAAAAGGTATTTTATTCAGGAGATGATTCTAAATAAATAAGTACGAAAGCTATAATTGTAAACCATGATCGAATTTATGGAAGCATTGGTTTATACAATCCTCTTAGTATCTATTCTAGGGATAATTTTTTTCACAATCTTTTTTTGAGAACCACATAAAGTTCCAACTAAAAAAATGAAATGACTTTTCATTATCTTAATTGAAGTAATGAGCCTTCCAATATTATATTGCTTTTTTCGAGAACTGCCTAATAACAACATTCATTCTATTTATTAGAAAATCAAGCATTAACAACAAAGCAACTCAAAACAAATTTCTTATTGAAGCTAATTTTTTTAATGAAGATTCAAATAATTTACTAAAGCTATCAACTTCAAATTCAGACTTCTTACTGAAATTAAATTTATGAAGAAATCAATGACTTAAACAAATTTGTCAAAGAAAGAAATTAATTATAAATATTTGAGAAGAAAAAATAATTAAAATTTACCTTTCTTTTAACAATCTGTTAAGGGATAATTTTTAGTAAACAACGTAATCCAGTTTTCTTTCTTAGAAACGATTGACAATGAACCAATTGAGAAGATCAAACTGTAAAAGCAAAAAATCAAATAAAAAATCAAAGCAAACAAAATCGAAGGTAAAATCCTAACCTTATAAACCCAAATCGGGGTTGAGAATGGATTTTGCTCTTGGTTTTTTTGAGGGGAGAAAAAAAAAATAAAAATGAATGAGAAATTTGGCATGTAATTTGTTTGAAATTGAACCATATAAGCCTAAATCAGAATAGATTACAAATAAAAAATAAACCAAAATGATTGAGCAACAATAGAAATAGCTAGATGAGAAAGCTATGATAATACATTAAAAGGCAGAAGGAACAGTGACAAAAGTGAAGTATTATAAGGAAATCAACAATTGAATTAGCCTAGTGTTTCGTTCCAACCGAAAAGGTTAAGGTTAAGAATGGGTTTCACTCTTGATTTTGCTAAAAGGAGAAAAAAGAAATAAAATAAAATAAATAAAACATAAAAAATAAAAAATTTTGATATGCTATTTGTTTCAAATTGAAGGGAAAAATGAACTTAAAATTACATTTTTTGAAGGCAAAATAAGAAAAAAAATCACATTCCAAGCTGAATGCAATAGTACCTCAAAAGGAGGTAGGTTTTTTATTCACCCAAAATTTTTTCTAATTTAGCACTATTTGTAACCACACATTCTTGACGCTCATAAATGTTGTTGAACCAAATGATATAGTCTAATAATGGAAAGTAACATTCCACCTAGTAATCCTATTGTCTCCGAACCAAATGCTCCCTTATTGATTGTCCATTTAGATTACCACCATTACATTATGTTTGGTTTTTGGATGAGAGAAAAAAGGAAAAAGAAATCAAAAGAAAATAACATTTTTCCTTTTTTTTTTTTTATAAGGAAACAAATGATACAAAAATGGATGGATTTACTTTTTTTCAAATTAAAAAAACATCTTTTTCACTTAAATTAAAATATATTTTTTATAATTTTATCCATAATTCGTTTTATTTTTATTTTTCATCTTTCATACCAAATACAAGGAAGAAAATCCCTTTATTTCCATCATTTTTTTCTTACCTTTTTTTGTTCTCTCTATTTTATTTTCTTTGTACTAAAAATAGTATTAGGTTTAGTATGGTATACATGAAATATAATAAAAGAAATATATGAAAAATTGAGAGTAGAAGAAATTAAAGCATAAAAATAATTTTTTTTCTTTTTATTGTTATGCTCGAGAAATTTAGTGTTGCATCACCCCACCCATGTTTTGTTTATCACTAAATGGTGGATTGGTTAACTTTTTTTTTTTTTTTGGAAGTTAATGGAGTGAAACAACAAGATACTATATCCCCTTATTTGTTTGCTTTTACAATGATATTATGTCTAAGTTATTAGATATTGCAACCAAGTTTGGAGATTTTGCTTACCATTGAAAATGTAAAAGAGTCAATTTTACTCATTTGTGTTTTATAGATAATTTATTGATCCCTACTAAAGGAAGTTTGATTTTATTATTGAAATATAGTCTTTTATTGTTTTTCTTGTTTGCATCAAAATTGTACAAAAGTGAGTTGTTTTCTTTAAGAATGAGTAAGAATCTCTTAAAAAATATAATAGGTATCGAGGTTTAAGCATGAAACTTTACATATAAGATATTTGGGAATCTTTCTTATTATAAAAAGGCTCATTAACATGGATTGTGCTCCTTTGATTGAAAAAGTTAATACCAAAATCACCAGTTGCACTATTTAAGTTCTTATGCATGTATGTTTTAGCTTACCCAATCAGTATTAGTACATGCATTTTATTCTTTCTAATAATATTCTGAACAGGTGAAATTTGAAGGTTTTGTATTTTTTTTTTTGTTTTCAAGAAATTTAAAGTTTTTCAAAATTTTTAAACTATTTTATTTTAATTTTAATTTTCGCCCATTAATATATTGCCATGTGATAGACTTATCTATGGGTTAGGTGGATCCTCGACATGGTATAAACAAGTTTCAAGCTTGCCCAGATTCGGCTTGGCCTAAAATATGGGCTTTACTTTGTTGCCCAGAACTGACCTATTTTAAAATTTTTACACATGCCCATCTAAATCGACCCATATTTTTATTTTTTTGTAAGTAAAAAAATAAAAATAATTTTTATAATAAATATTAACTATGATAAAATAAATATTCAATAAACTAAAGTGTAAAAAATAATATAATTAGATGTTTGAATATGATTAGTATATATAGGCATAAGATATTAATGTATGCATATATTATTAATTATCTATTTATTTTTATGTAATATAAATAAAAATATATATAATAACTATTCAAGTCAACTCAAGCTCAAGCCTTAAACTTAATGTCCAAGGCCCTGTTTATTTTTAAATGGATCTAAAATTCAAACCCAAACCCATTTAAGATACCTAAAATTTATGTCTAAATCTTTTCAAAATTTGAATGAACTTTCATACTCGGACAAGTAACTTGACCTTGGATAGGTTTACTATGTGGTCATCAAAGGAAAAAATTACAGCACACAAATAGTCTACCATGTTAGCATTTTTCTTACCACTTCATTAGAGATTTTGTCATTCTATGGTTGCGTTCTTTAATGACAATCTCAATTTTTATCCATTAAAAGATTTGATTTGATAAAATAAATATTTAAATGTTCTGATTGATTGTAGTAATAAGATACAGAGTTGGATAATTATTTAATTTTAATTAAAAACTTTTTATATTTAAGTAATGATAAATTTTTTATAAAAAATTAAAGTTTCGTTTTATTAATATTTTTGTTATTTTTTATTTTTAAATTTATTAAACTATAAAAAATACAAAACACTTGTCCAAAGAGTATAACC